ACACTGTATTCCCTCACTATTGTAAAATCTCACTTTGCGGTATAATTAGGTAGACTTCGAATCGCACCTTACAGTATCTAAAGCAACATCTAACCCACTACAAGTAGCAGAATCACAAGGCTCCATTCTATTATTATTCCCTCTACTCACATTTGAAGACAATGGAGGACTAGGACTATTATGCCTATTAGTAACTGAATCTAACCATCCTGAAATAGATGAAAATGGCTTACTATCAGGGGATGAAACATCACTCAATTTCTTGGTCTTTGTTGATGATGTTGACCCTTCTGAATCCACTGATTCATTTGGCATTAAATGGATTTTGTTGAGAAGATTTTTCATTTTATCTTTAACAAAAATTCTAAACAAAGTGTTAAAGAAAAATGAAAGCAGGCCATAACCCTCTCCATTGTCTCACTCCAAGCACGAATCTCAATACCAAAAATCACAATAAATACTAAGTGAAATTAGCATAATGAGCTAATTCCCCACCAAGTTTTTCCTAAGTATGTGAGCAAGCTAGAAGCTTCACTAGTGACTAGTGCCCCTAATCTCATATGACTTAAGACTCATACATATGCTTTTGGGGTGCTGCCACATGGGGGTGGGGTGGGCGATGTTAATCTTTATTCACTTAATAGGTAATTATGTAGTATCTCGTTATCCGGTAATTAACCAATTACTCGCATAATTAAGAATTGTCTCAAATTACTTAAAATTCTACTTATTTTTAACACACTTTATATAACTTACTATTACGGTCGTGTGGTACCCAGCAAAATAAATTCACATATTATTATTTTATTAAAACATTCATGTAAATTACATATATTTTCTCAACTTATAATTTTCCTAATCTCATATAAAGAGTAAAAATTTTCATACACTTAATTCTTAAAATAATAAAAAAATAACCTTCTTTTCTTGCTAAAAATCTATCTTTACAATAAAGAAAATCCCGTAAACTTTCTCATTTTATGTGTATAATTGAAAGTAGTAATATTAATAACTATTTTTTTACAAACTATTTTACAAAATTGTTCCACTCAAAATATCATATCAAAATATATCTAAAGGTATCAAAGTTGTCAAACTTACAGGATGTAACATCCAAGGTGCGGGCCCGGGGTCGACTTTTGGACCAATTTTTGGATTTTGTTACAAATTGAGATTTTATGATCCGGAATAGTTTCTTATGTGTTTTATTTGTGCCTTGAAATTAATTTGGTTAGATTTGAGCCGTCCGGAGGTCTTTTCACTCGAGGAGTGCATTTTTGAATATCAGTCTGTCGTCTTTAAGGTAAGTATCTTGCATAACCTTGTGTGGGGACTTCCCCTTAGGATTTGAGTCTTCTATGTTGATTGTAGTTCATGTACGCGAGGTGACGAGTGCGTGCTCGGACTTATATGTGGAAAATTGGCCTTTTAGGGTTCTTAGGTCTTTATATTCACTGTGTATGAATGTGTTCTTGACATGACTGAGTTTTCTATTTACTAGTTTCACCTCTACATGCTTAATTGGAATTAATTGCTTCATGTTTCACTCTTATTGCCTAATCGACTCCTATTTGACTTAACTGAAGAATTTCGTCTTCCTAGTGTCATGCTATCTTTTCATAGCTGCTTGTCTTATTTGGGAATTATCATCATCTCCTCCTAACCTTGTTTAATCTTAAGTGAAGCTAAGATCATCTTTCCTTAATTGAATTGTCAAATATCCTCGTAATTGTCCAACCTTAAAATGGAGTTTAGATAACATATATCTTTGTTGACTTGCCTTTATTTGGGACTACGTGACTCGTGTTGATTTCCTTGTTATTTACTTGTGTATTGTGGGATCATCGCTACATGTTAGTTTTTCCTTTGTTGAATTGTTCCCATTATGCCAGCATTCTCTTTGTTGACTTGCCGTTGATTTACAGTTCTTGAGTTGATTTACTTGTCGTACCTTGTCTTATTGTCATTGTTGTTGTTGTACGTGTTGTGGTGATGTACGAGTTTTTTGTCGTGCTGTATAGTTGTCTCCATTGGTTGCGCTGCATATTTACTTTGGGACTACGGGACGGTATCTCGGGAGATCCTCTGCACATTCACTTTGGGACTACGGAACGGTATTCTGGGAGATCCCCCTGCATATTTACGATTTGGACTACGGGACGGTATCCCGAGAAATCCTCTGTACATTTATTTTGGAACTAACCGGGAGATCCCCCTGCATATTTACGATTTGAACTACGGGACGGTATCCCGGGAGATCCTCTGCACATTTACTTTGGGACTACGGAACGGTATTCCGAGAGATCCCCTTGCACATATACGTTTGGGACTACGAGACGGTATCCTGGGTGATCCCCTGTTATTATCACTGTGTTGTGAGCTGTTATTTTTATTGATCCTATCCCTGTGAAAACATTATATGTGCTATCCGTTCTTGTCCTTATGCTTGCTAGCTGGTATGAACTATATTAGGACACTTGCACAAGTATACACGTAGCTAAGCACCCTTATCGGATAGGAGGCTTCTTGATATTGCTGAGTATAGACGCACACCTTTGTTTATTGGCCTTCCATGTGAGAGTGGCTCCATTTGGCACGTGAGTTGTCAATATGATTATGTGGTGTGATGAGGGCACAGAACGCCAAGTGTTAGGGTTCTACTACTGAGACCTGTATTGTATGAATATGAGACGAGGTGTCACAGGGTGTCATATATTCGAAGTTTATCTATTTGAAAAGATTATATTTGAATAGTATTTATGTTGAAAGAACTATTTTTTTAAAAGAACATTTATTTGAAGGAAATATATTTAGAAACACTTTTTTATCACTTGAAAGGTTGACTATTTGATTGACGTTTTGCTGGTTAAAACTTAAGGTGAAAACCGTCGTAGTTGTTGAGTTATGACTTATCTTTACTGTATTGTGATTTCGAATTTGGGTTGTATTCTTGTTTACCTTTCTGTGTTTTCCTTATGGTGTTCCGCTGAGTACTTGCTGTTTTCTTTCCTTATTGCAATTACTATATTGTTAGCTCTATCGCGTAGTCTATATATACATATCATGTTTTGTTGTTTCTATATTTATACTTGTTCTGTTTATTAAACTAGTGGGTGTCTTGACTGTTCCTCATCACTACTCCACCGAGGTTAGTCTTAATACTTACTGGGCACCGTTGTGTGTGCTCATACTACACTTCTGCATATTTTTGTGTAGATCCAGATATTAATCGATAGTAGCTGTGTGGATTCTTGCCGAGGAGACTTAAGGTCGCCCTGTTGCTGCGTTCACAAGCTTCGGAGTCACCTTTCTATTTTGTATTCACACTGTTGTACTTATTTCCATACAGTTATGTTTAGAAGTTGTAGGAAACTCTGTGGAGCTTATGACTTGTACCACCGATTTTTGGGAAGATGTATATTTCATAAAAATTTCTATATTGAGACTGTTAGACGTTCTTTATTATGGTTGATATTTAGTAAATGTTAGGCTTATCTAGTCCCTAAGAGTAGGTGCCATCAGGAGATCCATCTGAGGAAGAATTGGGTCGTGACAATCAATATTAATCTGTGAAGAATATTTAAATATTAAAAGAAAGGTGAGAAGACTTCACAAAAATTTTATTAACTTTGATTGAGAGGGCTATTCCTCGATAGCAATGGTATTATAAAAAATTATGCAATGCTTTTATTTATCTATTTGAATTTGCTTTTCTATTCTATTTTTTCATATTCATTTTTTTCTTATATAGTTGATTTGTAAATTTTTCCTTATATCATCTCTGTTTGTTAAGATATTTTTTCTACAGACCTCTCTAACATGCTTACTCGTAACTTTATGCTGATTTTCATATAATTATTTAAATAACACAAGATATATATGTATAATATTACGAGGAAATTGCCATTTGTCACAAAGGGGAAAGTTTTTGGTAAGATCACTAACAATGAAGAGGAAGTTGAGAAGAAGAAGGTGATGGAATGTCGGATGTATATAGAATGAATGAGTGTATTTATAAGAAATAATATAGTGTTTTTAGAATGTTGTTATAAGGGCAAGTTAGGAGGAGAACAAAGAGAGAGTTTATCTTAGTAATAGAGGAAGTAACAAGTTAGGGGGAGACAGAGAAGAAAAGAAGGAAAGAGAAAGAGAATATTTCTCCTTTTTCACCTGTCAAAAATTTTGATTTTGTATCTTTTTTAATTCTTAAAACTTTCACATTTTATCTTTAATTTTTGAATATCAAGAATCAAACAATCGTGACTAATTGCGAGGGATAGACAACTGATAAAACTCATTTTTTTTTTTTTTTTTTTTTTTTTTTTTTTTTTTTTTTTTGAAATATCACTAAGTAGGTTGGTTTTTTTCCTTTACCTAAAATAGATTTAAGTCTCCTATGAAGGACTAATGAAATTGCAAATGCCTTTTCATATACACCATGAAAAACTCCTTAGAACTTTTCGCTAATAATGAGACAATAGTGCTTATACTAAGGGAAATATGCTTTTTTTGTGAAGACAGCTTTTATATAATATAGAAATAGATAGTCCTTTGGAAAAAAGAAGTATTTTTGTTAAGATTACATGCCAACCATTTTAGAAGATTTATTATTATGGTATGATGAAATGGAAAAAAATAAAGAAAGAGGAAAAGAGAAACAAAATTGTAAAATTGATTATTTGAAGAGTTTTGAAGCTATTCAGAAAAAAATATTGATTTTTAAAATTAGTTATAAAATTATAATAGATTTTTTCAAGAATTCACTAATTTATTTCTATGACCGCGCGAAGCGGGGCAAGTTAAATAGTAAAACAATAGAGGAAGAGAAAGAAATTGCGAGAAATGTTTGGATGGTTAAACTAAATGTTGCAGCTCTTTCAAAACCGTAGAATTGCTACAATTGATCCCAACCTACAACTCACAACTAGATTCAACCAATTCTGAAAGACCTATATTCATTTCTGTTTTCCAAATTTTAACAGTTTTAATCCACCGAAAATATAAAGCAGAAAAAAAAAAGGAACATGAAAAACTACTTCACTTCATACATGTAATCATGAAAATTCTCAATTTTGTGTGGAGGATTACTGAAAGAATTGTCAAGTACAGTGTCTTATTTATGTCCAAGGTACATAGTATGTTATGCATCTCTTTCTCCATTCTTGCTTATTTCATTCTTTTAATCTAAATTTGGACAGATCCAAAACCCTTAAAATTTCATTCGATTTTGAATTTTCAGGGATCAAATTCGGAAAGCAAAAAAATGCCAAGACGTCGTCCATTGTACACTTGTGTAGCTTCAATCTTTGCAATTATCCACATTGCTTGCAGAAAAACAGAGGACTTTAACGGACCTATCAGATCAATAATAGATAAAATTGCAATATGTATGAGTTATGTAATGCCAATTTTATACACCATGCAATTTCAATGGCTATTAGTCGTATCTTTTATAGATAATTGTATACTCACTTCAGAAATTATGGTAGAAAAGTTATTTCCACCAGCATCTAGACTTTTCGATAAGATAGATGAGCTAGCTTATGCTGCAGAAAGCCTACCTGGAAAATTTGATGATTCCATGGAAAAGTTGCCAATATTTATTCACCAGATACCATTTCTTGATTGGGCACTGTTCCATCTTATAGCGTGGTTGAACTTCTGGATTTCGCGTTTGACTCATTGGGGGTCCAGGAATGCTAGGGAGAAGGATATAACAATTGATGTAAATCACAATGATCAATATCTCCAACAAGAATCAACAGTTAAATCGGATTTGCCTGCTAAACTGTTTAGCCAATTGCATAACGCTGATGCTTCACATGAACAAATCATGGGAAATGATAAATCAGAATGTGGGGTAGATGAGAAAAAGATTACTGGGTCAGAAATTCAAGCATTTGTAGAGGCTATAAGTCCTGCAAGTTCATCGAGTTGTGATCCATTTGAGGACGCGGTTTCATCACCAATGTTTGGTTCTCATGAAGATGTAAGCAAAACAATTGAAATTAGTATGTCGAAAACCGATATTGGAAAGTGTAGCTACAAGGAAATGCTAGAGAAACGGTCTTAAGAAAGCAAAGAGAGCATGATCACAGTTTAGTGAAGACAAATATTGAAGATGAAAGAAGCATCATTAAAGGGGACAATTTTGGCACAAAAAATGAATGAATATTACAGAAAAAATCTCATTTCAGTTTTAGTAGCATATACATGTTTAGGATTGTAAACAAGAAGAAATTTATTGTAAAGCCAAGTAAATTTTGAAGTAGAATAGACTTGTGCATTTGTGTAATTCAGATTAAGCAGTTGTCTAACTCTCTCTTGCATCTTCAAGGGAGAGTTAATATTTTCCCGAGTGCATTACTCAAATAGTCACTCAATTATTTCAAATTATCTCCTAAAGTTACTTTACTTTCATTTGTAGCAACAAAGTCACTGAACTATACTTATTGCACTCAGAAGGTCACTCAACTAGATTTTCCAAATTTTGGATTGCCAAATACCTATTTTACCCTCTAAATTATAAACATTTATCTTCTTTTTATTTTTATTTTTTTGCTATTTAATATTATGATTTTCCCTTTTTAATTATATTATGGACTTACCTATAGAATAAATAAATATTATTTATAAATTAGAAAAATAAAAAGTATTTAAGCATGTATAATGCTGGAATAACAAAACAACGAGCATAGTAAAAAAAAGTTAATTAGAATAATTTGTTAGTAATAATAATTTTAGTATTAACAACAAAACTTCAAAAATTTATACACAATTCAGAATGAAAGAAAATAAAGGTTGTAAAATATATATATATAACATAGTATAATACAAAAATAATTATCTAAATAGAGATATTTTTATAGTATACATTATATATTCTTGAAAATTATGCTCAATTATATTATTATGTTTCTATCAACTTTCTGATGATACAAAGTTATGTCACCGGAAAGTAAGGGGACTATCTGTATAGGGTAAAATATACTATGATAAGTCATGCATGTAATATATATAATATAATTGAGCATAATTTTCAAGAATATATATGTATATTATAAAAATACTTTTATTTAAAAAATTATCTTTATATTACATGCATGGAATATATATTTTACAACCTTTATTTTCTTTCATTCTGAATTGTGTAAATAAATTTTTGAATTTTTGTTGTTAATACTAAAATTATTATTACTAACAAATTGTTCTAATTAACTTTTTTTACTATGCTCGTTATTTTGTTATTCCAGCATTATACATGCTTGAATACTTTTTATTTTATAATTTATAAATGATATTTATTTATTCTATAGGTAAGTCCATAATATAAATTAAAAAGGGAAAATCATAATATTGAAAACTTTAAAAAAAAATAAAAGAATATAAATATTTATAATTTAGAGGGTAAAATAGGTATTTGGTAATCCAAAATTTGGAAAATCTAGTTGAGTGACTTTCTGAGTGCAATAGACATAGTTCAATGACTTTATTGTTACAAACGAAAGAAAAATAACTTTAAGAGATAATTTGAGAAAGTTGAGTGACCATTTGAGTAACTGACCCATATTTTCCTCTATATTTTTCGGTTTGTCCAAAATGAGGAGAGGAAAGAGAGTGTTACTTTTTGCTCTTTCTAACTTTCAAAAAGAGCAGTACACACATACTCTATTTTTTAGTGCTAATTTATTTTGTTTTTATATATCTATTTATATCTATATCATATCATATTATACTAAAAGCGTGAAGACCTAAATATAAAATTGAATTACCAAAATGTCCTTAAAAACTGAATGACCTTTTTGTCCTTCATTTAAACATCAATCCTATAACATTATTATTGTACCTAAAAGTAAAAGCATCTCATGATAAATTGAGTCTTTTCTACTACTCCTAACATTCCATGGTAAATAAATGAGTCTTTTTTACTACTCCCTATATTAAATCATAAATCTAATTTATATCTTTTGAAACTTGTGAAATCTTTTTGCATTCCCAATCAAATTCATCTAATGCTTCATTTAGTTAGAATAATAATTTAATATTCTTGAGCCGGTGTTCCACCAGGAAGAATAAGCATGCTGATGGAGTCCTTCTTTTCACTTTTCTTTGACAAAATTATGGTATCATCCGTTAATAAAATTATGAATTGGCATGTTCTTTTTGCTTATTATTTCACATGTGTTTACCCAAGAAATTGTGTGCCCTCATGTAAAATTATTTTTCTAAATTTTGTATATTCTATTTCTTGTATACATACCAGAGTTGCATATACTAATCCTTTGAATTGTATTTACAGATTGTGAGAAAAAACAACGAATGAAATTACCTAAAAGACAATTCTGCTTCTGGTAAATTTAAGTGCTCTCATATTTTTGATTCAATAAGAAGTCAGATGATTTGATCCGTGCACTTTAATATTTCTTCTTTATTGCATATAATTAGGGGATAAGGCTTCGCTTTTTGTTTGATTTTCAATGCTCCTGTTTCTACTTTTTTAATAAGCACTTTAAGAATACAACATGAATTTATTTTGCAAATAAAATTAAACAGACGAACAAGAGAATTTGAATTTCCTGATTCTTTAATATATAGGAACTCCACTTATAAATTTTAGCTTGTATTTTTTTACCTTTCAAATCTTGTTTTATATCTCATGATTAACATTTTAAAATAATATATATGTCATTTTAAGAAGTTTATATTGATTTCATGGAATACGCACGTGTCTATCTATATTTATATTATTATAAATATTGAAACATCGAAAGTTAAAAGTTGAATTACTAAAATACCCTTCTTAATAACCTAAATATTTTAATTCTGAATAAGTATTATTTAATATTATTAACCTAAATAAATATTGATGTTTAAATTTCATTTGTCCTTGAAAGGCTGTGACCCTTTAATTTTGTAACTAACCATTTGAATTATAGAATTAATCGTTGGTGGCTTGTATAAAATGCCACATTCTTACATAGAAGTTCTTGTTTATATCTGCCAATGAAATATGAAAAAGCATTCTTCTTAACATTGATCAACATTAAGAAAATTCAAAAGTCACGTTTTTTTAAGAAACTCAAAAGTCAGTTCACAACTACGATCTTAATTATATCTCTTAAGAACAGCAATATGTATCATTTGACTTTACAATGACATAAATACAGAAGAAGAAAACTTTCATTTGTATTCCAATGAGTTGACTTCTCTTTTATTTGATCTTGAGGACTCTTATGCATATTTACGTAATGATTTTGTTGAGTGTAAAAAGGAAAGTAAAGTTTTTGATGCCTGAACTAGTATTAATTGCTTTATTTATCTTATTCCCACTTTTGAAAGAGCATTCTTGTTGAATTTTGCTAATGCTTCTATGAGAAATGGTAAGAATATTTCTTTTGGTGTCTTGAGTGACCATTTTAAGTAAAAAGAACCTAATTTTATTGATTATTTTGTGAATATTCAACAATAGAAAGTTGCTAAGGGTAAGATAGGCCTTGAACAAACACTTTGGCATACTTTTTGTCAAAACTTTTTCTTTTGCCCAAAAGCAAAAATGGTATGTACGTTTGGGTGATGTTTATCTAAGGCCATTGAGGTAAAGACTCTTAACTTTGAGTATCGTGATATTCTTTATATGATGATTCATGATATTTGCATATCTCTTAAGTTGTCATGTGAAGTTATTGGAAAGCGTGCACATATTTGGGGATTAAAAATTGTGTTTGACCCCGTAGTTGTTTCATATCATGGTGAAGTATCTTTTTTTTTGGATTGAAGAGTATAATTTTTATTGCTTCTTATGATACTTGGTTATGCCATAAAAGTGTGTACTTTTGTTGAGGATTTTACAAGATTGTGGTTTTGTTGGAAGCAAACTTTACGCTCTCTTGATTCTTTTCATAAGTATTATTTTTCTTAGAGTCAAGTTTGTGTCATTCGTGTTGGAGATGTGTTCTTTATAGATTATGACATTTGGATATATCATAAGAGTGTCACTTTTAAGTGCAAGATTATGATCTTTGATCTGTTAGCGTGGACATACAATGCTTTGATTGTGATTGACTTGGTACTTAGGTTTGCCTCTTTCTTGATTTACACGGTCCAAATTCGAGGACGAATTTCTTTCGGGAGGTGGGGGGATAGTACGACCCAAGATAGCCAACACGCGTTTTGAATGTCAGTTGATGGCTACTATTGCAATTGGGAGGCTATGTGTGTAATTTGCCATCAAATGAGGACTGCATGTAATTGGAGGCTATACTTGTAATAATTGACCATATTTAGATCCTTAGAATTGGCTTAGGGGTATTTGATTCATTTGTAGCTAAATAACTACTCTAGTATAAATAGCCCTTAAGGATTTTATTTTAGGTAGACTTGATTAACGATAAACTTGAAGACATGTAAGTCTTACACTCTATTCTTATCTTTTAATTAATGCATTTATGTTTATGCCTTTAATTCCTTTATTGCTTTATTTATGCTTTTATTAGTGTTAAATTTCTCTTAGTTGGTGAGCAATTAGTAGTGAATACTTAATTGCTTAATTACTTTATCCGAATTTTCAAGAGTTGTCAATCTCTTGAGGGTTTTCTGTAACAACTCGACCAGTCGTTTTGAGCATTTGCACTTCACTCAGTATTTTACGGGCATGAGTAGCTCCGTATGATATATTATGACTTATGTGAATCGTCGGTTTTGGTTTTTAGGTTATTCGGAATTGATTTGGAAGAATGATTCTCAATTAGGAAGCTTTAAATTGGAAGAGTTGACCAAGTTTGACTTTTTAATAGTTGACCTCGGATTGTATTTTTTATGGTTCCTTTAGCTCCATTGGGTGATTTTAGACTTAGGAGAGCATCCAGATTGTGATTTGGAGGTCCGTAGTAGAATTTGGCTTGAAATGGTGAAAGATGAAATTTTGAAAACTTTGGCTAGGAGTGGACCTTTTGATATTGGGGTTGGATTCCAATTCCAGAAATTGGAACAAGTCTGTAATGTCAAATGTGACTTCTGTGCTAAATTTCAGGTCAGTCAGACGTGATTTTATAGGTTTCCGGATCGATTGTGGAAGTTTGAAGTTTCAAAGTTCATTGATTTCGAATTGAGGTGTGATTCATCGTTTTGATGTTGTTATGAGTGTTTTGAGGCCTCGAATAGGTTCGTATTATGTTATTGGACTTGTTGGTATATTTAGATGGGGTTCCGAGTGGCCCGAGTGAGTTTCGGACGAGGTTCGGAGCATTTTGGAAATTTTGGCTAAGGCTGGTGGCTGTTGGTTCTCGTATGATCGCACCTGGGGCTGGTTATGCGCATGTGCGATGGTCGCAAAAGCGAGGGAGTGTTGGCTGGGGAGGCATCACAGAAGAGTCAGGCGCAGAATT